TGGATTGATTCGGTGACTGGGGTAATCGGGATGGGTGTGTCGGAGGCAGTGCAGTTGGCGCAGGATAGAGCAGGGTTTAGGGCTGTTGTGTATAGGGTCGCTATGAGTCGAAAGCGACTTGACAGCACATAACAACAACAACAACATTCCCCTATCCCTACATAATGGAGTTTTACCCACGTTTTATGGCTGTTTGAAGACATGGTAGTTTATTGAGAAGAATCTGGGCTTTCGAGTGTTTCCTGAATATGTATTCTGATAATTCACCTGTTTACCTTCTCTAAGCCTGAGTTTTCTTACTTAACAGTTGTGAGCCTTAAATACATAGATATGCACAGGACCATAGTGACTGGTTAATGCTAGGTCCTTACCTTAGTTTAGATACGAAGAGACAACCCACAGCCTCCCCTGGAGAGGATCTTCCAGCTTCTCGATTTGCGTTGCAGAATTTCCACCTGTGCCTCTACTCCTCACCTCTTCAGCCTTCTCTTGTCTTCTATTCGTTTTCCATTGTGTTTCTGTGTCTGACTCAGAAGAAATTCTTGATCTGGCCAGCTAGTGTTTCCTACACTTTGGGTGTAATTGAGACTGTAAATCTGCACCGTTGTTTCTGTTCTTATGAACACAGAGCTGTAACTTTGGTCTCCAAGGCATTTTGTTGATTCATGAGGTTGAAAATACTCTGCTTGATAAGAGTATTTAAATGAAAATCCTTTCCCAAGATCAAAGCAAGCAAGTTTTGATTCCTTCCGTCAGTGTGGGTAATCTAGAGCATTATTCTCAACTTGGGGCTGCTGCATCCCTTCTCCCATGGGGACATTTACCAACATCTAGAGACATTTTTGGTTGGTAGGCTCCACAATCAACACTCTTACTACCAGCAATCAGGAAATTAAAAGACAAATTACACTAGGAAAGTCTGCTACAGAGACCTCTCCAAAGTACTTTACAGCAATGATTTCAGTCTGCAGACTGAAGTGCGCCTGATCCATGCCATAGTCTTTGCAAATACTTGGTTTGCGTCAGAAAGCTGGACAATGACTAGGGATCATAGAAGGAGAATTGATGCCTTTGAACTGTGATGCTGGGGAAGAACATTGTATATACCATCATGGCTAAGAGATTATTTTAGTCCCAGAGAGGGTGAAACCAGGCTGCTTCTAGGAGGCAAGGATTCTGAAGCTTTGTCTGATCTACATTGGACATGATACAAGGCAGGACCAGTCCTTGGAGAGGGATATCATGCTTTGGGGCGGCAGGGGTGGGGGGGGGGAGGTAGAGGGAAAGCACAAGAGAGGAAGACTCTCAATGAGATGGATTAATTCAGTGACTGGGATAATGGGGGTAGGTGTATTGGAGACAAGATTGGTACAGGCTAGAGCAAGGTTTAGGGCTCTTATACATAGGGTCACTATGAATTGCAAGCAACACATAACAATGATAACAGCAAGAGCATGAGAATCCTACTGACATCTACTAGGTGTGCCACAGGACAGCCTCTTACAACCAAGAATTCTTCAGCCCAAAATCACTAGTGCCAACTTTGGAAAACCCTTTTCTAGGGGGACTCTTTTCTGTCATAAATATTCGACCTGTAGTTGAACTCTGAGTTGTTCTTCTTTAGGTTAATGATATAAATGCCTTCTGTGGGAAGTATTAAGTTTATACTAAATTAAGTAGGTTTGCTACCTATTGTACAGAAATTTATTGACAGTAAATACATTTCTACATTAATTTTGTGTCCTGTTTTAGGAAAAAATGGAAACGTGGTTAGTGTCTATTAAAATAGCAATAGACAAAAGGGCTCAGAAGACCAATGTGTCCTTAAACACTGAAAATTTGATGAGGATTTTTAATTTGGGAACAGATCTTACAAGACCATTTGAGTACCTTCTTGCTACTGGGAATTTACGTTCTAAAACAGGTGAGATAGACATCATTTTAGTGATACGGTTTTTTTGTTGGTTTTGACTTTCCTCCAAATGATTTGCTTTACATAGATTTCCTTGTTGCTAAGGGATAGGGTGTGGATGTGTGAAAATGAGGTGTGAGTGAAAGTTTGCATGGCAGATGGGTTTTGCATTCAGCCACTCTTAACATGTTTTGTTTTATAACCCATAATGTAATCATACTTTTCCCACTTCTTCCCCGTAAATCTCATTTCCATTAAACATTTGCTTCCTGCCCTCCAGGCTTTATCCTCATGCAAATTCTTTTGACCTTTGTTGTTGTTCAGTGCCATCAAGGTGTAGACACAAGATCTAAACACTTGTATAGCTTTCATCATTTCTCCAAGTTCATAGTTTCCAGAGGTAAGCTATTTCAAAAGTGGATGCCACTCCTGCTTCCTAGGAGCTTCATCAAACACTGTCCACAATAGGTAACCATTATCACATTTGACACATCAGTGTCACAATGTTTAGCATCACAGCGACCAGGAGTTGGACCTCTGTACAGCAAATTGACAGACCAGTGCTCTATCACTTAGAAGAATGACCAAAAACAATTAAAAACCAAGCCTGGGACTACAGGCCCTTAAGCCCAAATGCCTTTTTAAATAGGAGGTTCACACCCAGTGGTGAGTAAACATTCCACCTTAATCCTCTCCAGAACCAGAAAACAAACCTCTGTAGAATCCAGCTGTTCCAGATGACTTCCCAACCTGGATTTGATCCCCATACATGCATGGTTCAGAATTGGGAAGGGTGTACGTCAGGGATGTGTCCTGTCTCCATACCTTTTCAACCTGTATGCAGAGCAGATTATCCGAGAGGCGGGGCTCTATGAGGAGAGGCGTGGCGTTAGGATTGGTGGACAATCTGATCTATCAACAATCTGCGTTATGCAGATGACACAACCTTGCTCGCTGAAACTGAGGAGGACCTCATGCACTTACTGCAGAGGGTCAAGGACTGCAGCCTTCAATATGGACTGAGGCTTGATGTCAAGAAGACAAAAATTCTCACCGCTGGACCAATTGGTAGCATCAGGATGGATGGCGAAGAGATTGAGATTGTTCACAGCTTCAGTTTGCTCGGCTCCACGGTCAACACTCTTGGCACCAGCAGCCAGGAAATCAAAAAACGTATTGCGATGGGAAAGTCTGTGGTTAGGGATCTCTCCAAAATATTCAAGAGCAACAGTGTCTCTCTGGAGACTAAGGTCTGCCTGATACAGGCCATGGTTTTTGCAATCACTTGTTATGCATCAGAGAGTTGGACAATGACTAGGGAGGATAGAAGGAGAGTTGACGCCTTTGAGCTGTGGTGCTGGAGAAGAGTATTGAATGTACCATGGACTACAAAGAAAACAAACAGATTCATCATAGAGAGGATTAAACCAGGCTGCTCCTTGGATTCTGCAAGGATTCTGGGGCTTCGTCTGACATACTTTGGACATGTTGTAAGGAGAGGGACATCATGCTGGGTAGAGTAGAGGGACAGCGCAGGAGGGGAAGACCCTCTATGAGGTGGATTGATTCAGTGACTGGGGTGCTCGGGATGGGTGTGTCAGAGGCAATGAGATTGGCACAGGATAGAGCACGGTTTAGGGCTGTTGTACATAGGGTTGCTATGAGTCGCAAACGACTCAACGGCACGTAACAACAACAACATCTGGTTACCCAGTGCCTTTTTAAATAGGATGCTGAATAAAATCAGCTCACATGCTACAAAAGGTTATTCGAATTGAGCAGATGCCTCCCTGGTGTTATTATCACCTTATAAGCCTGTCTGTTGTTGTTTTGTGCTATCAAGTTGCTTGCGACTCATAGTGATCCTATGTCCAAGAGCCCTAAATCCTGCTCTGTCCTGTGCCAGCCTGTCTCTGACACATGTACTCCCATTACCCCAATCACTGAATCAATCCATCTCATTAAGGGTCTTCCTCTCCTGTGCTGTCCCTCCACCCTCCCAAACATGAGGATTGGACCCTCCTTGTAACATGCCCATAATATGTCAGATAAAGCTTCAGAATCTTTGCCTCAAGGAGCAGCCTGATTTCACCCTCTCCAGGACAAACTTGTTTGTTCTCCTAGCAGTCCATGGTATATTCAGTGTTCTCCAGCATCACAGTTCAACTCTTCAATTCTCCTTCTTTCATCCCTAGTCATTGTCTAGCTGTCTGATGCATAGCATGCAATTGCGAAGACTTACGGCCTGTATCAGGTGTACCTTAGTCTCCACCTGATATCTTTGTTCTTCAGTACTCTGGAGATTCGTCTCTTGATTTCCTGGCTCCTGGTACCAACAGTATTGATTGTGGAGCCAAGGAAACAAAAACTGTTAACAATCTCAATCTCTTTACTATCCATTATGATGCTGCCAAGTGGCCCAGTGGTGAGAATCTTTTGTTTTCTTGATGTTGAGCTTCAATCCATATTGAAAGCTGCTGTTCTTGACCTTCTGTAGCAAGCGCTTCAAGTCTTCCTCAGTTTCAGCAAGCAGGGTTGTGTCATCTGCATAATGCAGGTTATTGATGAATCTTCTTCCAATCCTGATGCCACATTCCTCATATGTACACCCAGCGTCCTGGATGATCTGTTCTGTATATAGATTGAAAAGGTATGGAGACAGAATACATCCCTGGAGGACACCCTTTCCAATTTTGAACCATAGAGTGTCTGTTGTAAGCCTAAAAGTTATCCTCACCTTGTAAGCCTAAAAGTTGAGCTACCTGTATAAGAGAGTTCTAGTAACATTTCGACTTCACTAAAGACAGATTTCATGTTGTTGTAAATTTTGATGAGTGTGTATTAGTCTGAATGGCTTTGAACAAAATGGCTATATAGTTTAAATTCAGTTCTACTGACAAAATATATTTCTTGTACCCTTTTTAGAGTGCTGAAAACAGCTTACATCCCTGATGAATGGTTACCTCGACATGTCATTTAAGTTGCTTGTTCTCTGTGTTTTCCTGTAAATAAACTGCATCAGAGTCACAGACATGTGATTTGAGGCCCAGAAGATGGCTTTGTGTGGATAGTACTAATAACAGAGTGTTTTAGGGCTAACGAATGCTTATAAATCTAGCCTTTTTGGATGGGTCCCATTTAATTGCTTGCTATTTTATTGCTCATTTATGTTCCCCCACAGAGATGGAGATAAAAAACTATTCAAAGCCAGGCTGTTCCTATTAGTTCACTAATACATTTGTAAAATACAGGTTTGTTGTTGTTGTTGTTGTTATTATATTATAATAAACTGTTTCCACTCATTGGTGTCAATAGAGTAAACAGTATAGTAAAACCCACCCTAATTTGTTGGACACTCTCAAATTGCTTGGTTTTCTTGGTTTGTGAGAAAAAAATGAGGTTGCTTTCAATCAAAAACATCATTTCTAGATCCATCATGAAATACAATGTGCGTGACAGTAAAATATTCATACACATACAAAGAAGTCAGTGAATACCACTATCATTCAAATATATGCACCTACAACTAGAACCAAAGAGGAAGAAATAGATTTCTACCAACTTCTACAGTCAGAAATCGATTGAACATGCAGTCAAGATGCATTGATAATAATGGGTGATTGGAATGCAAAAATTGGGAACAGGGAAGAAGGATCAGTAGCTGGAAAACGTGGACTTGGAGACAGAAATGAAGCTGGAGATAGAATAATAGAATTCTGCACATTCAGTGATTTATTCATTGCAAATACCTTTTATAAGAAACAAAAATGCATACACATGGATTTCACCTGATGGTATGTATAGGAATCAAATCGATTATATCTGTGAAAAGAATTGCTGGAGAAGCTCAATATCAGCTGTGAAAATCAGCCAGGTGCTGATTATGGGACAGACAGGTTCAAGCTGAAGTTGAAAAAAAATGAAATCCATAGGAACCAAAATTTGACCTTAAGTTTATCCACTTGAATTTCAAAACCATCTCAGAAACATGTTTGAGGCCTTGAACACCAATGAACAAAGACCAAATGAGCAGTAGGAGGTTATCAATATCGTCCATGAAGAATGCAAAGATCGTTACAAAGGCAGAAGAGGAAGAAAAGACGAAGAAGGATGTCAGATAAGACTGAATATTGAATTAGAGCCTGAGAAGCCAAAGCTAAAGGAAGAAAACAAAATTAAAGAGCTAAACAGAAAATGTCACAAGGGCAGCTTAGGATGACAAAGCAAGGTATTATAATGAAACGTACAAAGAGCTGGAGTCAGAAGATCGAAAGGGCCAAACTCACTCAGCATTTCTTAAGCTGAAGGAATTGGAAAAACAAATTCAAGCCATGAGTGGCAGTACTTAAGGATGCTTCGGGCAGAATGTTAAATGATCAAAGAAGCGTTAAAAGAAGATGGAAGGAGTATACAGTCATTGTACCAAAAGGAATTGGCTGATAGAATTTAAGGAAATAACATGAGCAAGAGCCTGTGGTGATGGAGGAAGTTCAAGCTGCTCTGAAAGAGTTAAAAACAAGACTCCAGGAGTTGACGGCATACCAAATGACATATTTCAGCAAACACACACTGCCCCAAAGTATGTCAGACAAAGCAAGCTTGCATTGGGAAAGCCAGCTGTCAGGGACCTCTCCAGTGTACTGAAGAATAACAGTGTCTGGCTGGAGACTAAGGTGTGTCTGATCCAGACCAGTCTTCGCAGTTGGGTGCTATGCATCAGCTGGACAACGACTAGGGATAGAAGGAGAATCGATGCCTTTTGAGCTGTGCTGCTGGAGAAGAGTGTTGAATATACCATGGACTGCTAGGAGAACAAACAGCTTTGTCCTGGAGAGGGTGAAATCGGGCTGCTCCTTGGAGGCAAGGATTCTGAAGCTTTGTCTGACATACTTTGGGTGTGTTGCAAGCAGGGGCCAGTCTTTGGAGAAGGATACCATTTTTGGGAGGGTGGAGGGATGGCGCAAGTGAAGACCCTCAATGAGATGGATAGAATCCGTGATTGGGGTAATGGGAGTAGGCGTGTCAGATGAGGCTGGCACAGGAAAGAACAGGTTTTAGAGCTCTTGAACATAGGGTCTCTATGAGTCACAATCAACTTAATGGCACATCACAACAGCAACCAGAGCCTTAAATAAAAGTTGACCATTTTTAATTTTTAAGTTTGGCCTAATTTTGATTGACTTTTGTTTTATCAAGGTCTGGGCTTCCTGCAAGACTCTGGTTTATGCGTTGTGGCTGACAAACTGAACTTTGTGCGCTATATTTCCCATTTCCGCTGTGTGCACCGAGGGGCTGAGTTTGCCAAGATGAGAACCACAACTGTGCGCAGGCTGCTGCCAGAGTCCTGGGGCTTCCTCTGCCCAGTGCACACGCCCGACGGGGAGCCCTGTGGTCTCATGAACCACTTAACTGCTGTGTGTGAGGTCGTCACGCAATTTGTGTATACGACATCTATTCCAGCTTTGCTCTGCAACTTGGGTATGTCATGTACACCTATTCAGTCATCATACTTGGTTGTGTATAGTTTTTGTTTGTTTTTTGTTTTTTTTCAAGCTCAAGAAGCTTTATTAAGGGTTCTCCCGAGTGGGATTCCTTGGTCTACAATAAGAGAAGCAGGCAGAGGGACAGACCAGGGGAATATTTCCGGTTGTGTATAGTTTTGACAGGTACAGACTGCCAAGGTATGCTGCTTTGCTTTTTGAGATTCAGCAAAAATTCCTGCAAGAATGCTCTGCAGGAGTAGAGCTGATTTACTGCTCTCTGCTGTTGAGATGCATTCTTTGGACATGAGGACAGGAGAGAGAAAATAAAGTGCTGATATTTTGCCCTCCACCCTCCCTTCTGTCTTGGTGTTAGAAGCATTGAAAATAGCATCCATTAGTACGGAAAGTGTAGGTGATATGTCACCTTTTGAGTCACTCTGCCTGCATCTTTTGAGTGGACCTTAGAATCTCTATGAAGAAAGAGTTGTAGATTGCCAGAAAATGGTAAAAGAAAATGGTCCCACGTACAGCCTCTGGTCCTGGGACTTGCAGCTGCCATCTCTACTTTGGCTGGGCTGCAGTTTGCCCTTTGGAGTTTGATCCTTGGTTTGAGTTCACCTTCGTATTTGAAGATGACACTTTTCCTTTGGTGTTCATGCTTTTCAGTCCCTGGGTTCACAAGTTCTGGACACAAGTATTCTGTGTCTTGGGCAGTCTGTGGGCAGGATCTCAGTGAAAATAATGTTTATATGGTAAAACTTTGCATACATAAGGATCAGTATTCTCAAATATCCAGAGGGGAAATTGAATCTACAGTGAGGAAATTTCCCTTAAAACTACTTTTGCTAATTAGAGTGGAGCCTCTCTGGAGGGGACCTTGAAGGAAGTAGTCGAGTGGGCCTTCCCTCCAAGTGTCTTTTCAGGGAGTGAGGTCTGTTCCTTTGTGGATATAACTTTCTAATATATTAATAAATCAGTTTTACCTTAAAAAAAAAGATTAAGAGGATGTAACCAAGTGCAATTTGTAGGTTCATCCTCCGCAAAGACAAGAATAATTTTGTTACTACCAGTGCTGAGAAACATTGAAGTCTAGGAGGGATAGAATGCAGAAAAGAAAATGAGAGTTGAAAAAAAATATCCCATTAATTGCTCTGGCACTAGGGAAGACAACGGACTAGAACATTCTAATTAAGTTCATAAGCCACCATGAAGTGTACTGCCATGGAGTTGAGTCCAGCTCGTAGCTCCCTTCCATTTGGGCGTGCAGTGTTGTCGGTTACTCCAGGAGGTGGCACGCCTTTCTCTCCTGAAGCAGCTGGCAGATTCAGTGCTGGCCTTTTGGCTGGCTGCACCACACCACTTGGAGCTTAGCTGACTTAATGCATGCTAGGGTGACAGTAAACATGGAGTGAAAAAATTGTGGCACTTGGTTATTCATGTTTCATGGACAAGAATTTTTTATTGTATTTTTTAGATAGTTTTATGTGGTTTCAGAACTCGAAATATAGACAGTGAAACATCTCCCTCCTAGCCCCGTCCTAGCTGCCCTCCTCATAGGCAGTCCTTATTACTGGCTTTGAGATATGTTTGCAACAGTGATTTAACCTCCGACAGGAAGCACAGAAAGCGTTTTGTTTTTGAGTCAAGGCCAATAAACTGATAACTGCGGTTGTTGGTCTCTTCTGGGGAATATTGAAAATGTTAGAAAAAATGTTTCAGTGCCTGTGCTCTGGCTTCCTTAGGAGTCACACCCGTTGATGGAGCCCCACATGCCCCATACAGTGACTGCTATCCTGTCCTGCTGGATGGCGTCATGGTTGGCTGGGTGGAGAAGGAGCTTGCGCCCACCATCGCAGATTCTCTCCGGCATTTTAAGGTAATTTGAAGTAACAGACTTGTTCTATCACTTTATCTTGGGCTTTAGTCTATGGGTAGCTGTGTGGTAACCCCAGGGCAGTATGGAATGGGCAGAAGATCATAAGCTGATTCTGAAAATTCCAATCTATTCCCTTTGGCGGCAGAGCCTGGCTTTGTTGTGGCCTCATTGGTTGGCTTCAGGGACAGACATTTAACCTGTGTGCCCTCAGGTAGTATCACTGTGGGGTTAAGTAGATCTAACTTTTTTAAATTGTTTTTTTTCTGTGTAAATGTGGCAGTCTGCCAAATGAAATAAACTTCAGTATATAAATTGTTATTCGGTTTCAATTAGGCCTTGACTTATAGCAAACCTATGCAAAACAGAACAAAATTCTGCTTGGTTCTGGAATCCTGTGGAGATGTTAAAATATGAGCATTCAAGTGATATTAAAGATATTCAAGGTGCTTTTATGAAAATATCTTTTTAAGAATATGGACCACTTCCTGCATAAACTGCCTTAATGTAGTTGTGTAAGTTGTTTCTTCATTATGAGATTTGAGACACCATATAAGGAGGCTTGTCCCATCACTTTGATGACTTGGTGACTTTACAGTAATGGTCGTCTCTTGTACACTTATAGGGAGCTCTGGTGGCCTTGTGATAAGAATTTGCACTGCCAACCCAAAGTTGCGCAGTTTGAAGCCACCAGCTCATTAGTGGAGAAAGATGGGCAGTCTCCTCCCTTACTTACAGCCTCTGTCAGCCTGCGGGAGGGTCAGCTGTGAGATGTTTCCAACTCATAAAGTACATAAAGAACAACACGTACAATTAGTGTGTTTGCCTTTGTAATAAATAACTAGTAGAGGGAGGTTTCAAAGGTGAAGTGAATGCTCTTCACATTTACTCCTCATCAAGTTGTCACCCACGGGTTGGCAAAGTCTTTGCTGGTGATTCTTTTACTGGTGATTCTTGCTGAATTAACTATTTAAGTTGTGATTAGCATTGACTTAATAGTTCAGCCCAGTAATTCTTCTGTAACTCCATCATTTGTTTATATACTAGTTGTTATTCTTTAATATAGAGCTTTCCTTTCTCTGTTTAATTCATTTATTTATATTTGTTTTGTTGTTGTTGTTATGTGCCGTCGAGTCGTTTGTGACACGTAGTGACCCCATGTACAACAGCCCTAAACCCTGCTCTATCCTGTGCCAGTCGCATTGCCTCTGACACACCCATACCGATTACCCCAGTCACTGAATCAATCCACCTCATAGAGGGTCTTCCCCTCCTGTGCTGTCCCTCTACTCTACCCAGCATGATGTCTCTCTCCTTACAACATGTCCAAAGTATGTCAGACGAAGCCCCAGAATCCTTGCAGAATCCAAGGAGCAGCCTGGTTTAATCCTCTCTATGATGAATCTGTTTGTTTTCTTGGCAGTCCATGGTACATTCAATACTCTTCTCCAGCACCACAGCTCAAAGGTGTCAATTCTCCTTCTATCCTCCCTAGTCATTGTCCAGCTCTCTGATGCATAACAAGTGATTGCAAAGACCATGGCCTGTATCAGGCGGACCTTCGTCTCCAGATTTATACATGCACACATAAGCATAGGTTGTTTGATTTTATAAGCATTATGTTGAGAGAATTTATTTTGATAATCAAATGTGACTAATGTGGACCCTTCTGGACTGGTAACTATGGATTGTTTTTGTTGTTGTATTTGGGATTTTCTTGCCACGTTGCCCCATTCACAGTACAAACCAAGCACAAGACCCTAGAGTGAGGTGAATATAGAGTATTTCACTCTGCCTTCACATTCTGTCCAGTCAGTGCAAGAATTTTCTTTGTTTTTTATGCCCATCATTCTTTTTTTTGAATTGGCTTTCATACAGTCATTCATAGGTGTGTGTTTTTATATGAATTACACTTGATCGGTGCCTTGGACCATCATTCTTTTAGTATAGCTTTGCCTTCTGGCACAGCAAGGTGGTTCTGGCTCATTTTGTGTGTTTGAGACTGCAAGGTTGGCACAGGGTAGAACAGTGATTAGGGCTCTTGTACATAGGCTTGCTGTGAGTCACAAGTGACTCGATGGCACATAACAACAACACAACAAGTAGCCTAGGCTATTCTTTGGAAAAGGCTATCATTCTTGGAAGGGTAAAGGGTCAATGAAAGATAGGAAGACCCCATCGAAATGGATTGACATAGTTACTACAGCAGCAGTGGGCTCAAGTGTGTCAGAGATGGTAAGAATGGTGCAGGACAGGACAAGGTTCAGGTCTGTTCATCGAGTCACTGTGAGTGGTGCTCGGCTTGATGACACCTAACAACAACAGTCCTACCCTTGATTTGCTTTACTGTGAAGTGTGTGCTGCTTAGAACTGGAGATCTGGGTCGCAGAACATTGCTACCAATACATCCTGCTTTGAAGCCATTTCAGCATGTATATATGCACCCATGTTACCAGAGTATTTTTCCTTTCCATATTTGTAACTCTCTTCTCCACCAGTGTCCATTTTCTTGCTTTTGTACTCAGGAAAGAATTATTTCAGAATTTGTAATTCATACCACTGGGGGGAAATTGGGAAATATATTTATAGGTACTGTTTTTCTGCTTACAAACTCTATCATTTGTAGAGAGTTAAGTACCATGTTTATAAGATTCCCAAGTTAATTTTTTTTTTACTGTTTCAATGTGATAATGTTATTTATATGTAGTTACATGCATTTGTTATATAGCCATTTGTAAGTTTTTCTCCCTTACCTTCTTTATTACTATTTGGAGTTGGTGAATTATAACTTGGTTCACAAAGGCATACTCATAGGTGTCACTCCCATGCCATCCTTTCTACCCTCACCACCACATATTGACCCCAGTCCTGCTCACCCCATGTGGGACTTTCTTATCTTTCAACCGTGTTTCTTTTTGCAAAAATAATCAAGAGATGCATAGTCATCAGTTTATTACACAAAACATAAATCTTTTGTATTTTTCTTTTTACATTTAACAATACTACATCTTGGAAATCATTCCCTATTCGTTCATAAACATCTTCCTCTTTTTCTTAGTATATAGGTCAGTGTTTTGTGGGGATGAGGTTGTTTGGCTTTTTGTTGTTGTTGTTTTGTATAGTCACAGAGTTGTACAACCATTGCTACCTTTTATTTCCAGAACATTTCATTATCCTATAACCATTTGCAGTAACTTCCCATTTACTCTTCCAGCTCGGCCCTGGTTGTCACTGACCTGCTTGTCATTTGTGTGGATTTGCCTATTCTGGGCATTTCAGTTGTGAAATGGCATCTCACTGTGGCTTTGATTTATGATTTCTTGATGATAAATGTCATTGAGTGTCTCTTCATGTGCTTATTTGCCATTGACATATCTTTTTTTGAGGAAGTATGTAATTAGGATAGTCTTTATTGTTGAGTTATAATAGTTGAACTTATTTTATATTTGGTTCAAATTGTTCCAGCTTTGGACACTGGGAAGTCTTTCATGTTGGTTCCTGTGTCTTTTAGGACATATCTCTGTTGTTTTAGTTTTTTGTGTACTTTCTGACTCTGGTTCCCAACTTATCTTGTGTTTTTCTTGCCTTAGTAATAGTTTCAAGCACTAAGTTTTGTCTTTGCATAATTAAGTTCATTTCTTAAACTCTTTTTCATATTTGACCTCCTTCCACAGTATTTTTGCCTTTATCTCATACAGCAGGGTGATGAGTGTAAAACCAACCACTTATTCTTTCTATCTTTTGGTTGAAAACAGGTGTTGAGAGAAAAAAGAATCCCTCCTTGGATGGAGGTGGCCCTTATCCCCATGACAGGAAAGCCCAGTCTGTACCCAGGACTGTTCCTCTTTACTACTCCTTGTAGACTAATCCGGCCCGTGCAGAACCTGGAATTAGGCAAAGAAGAACTAATTGGAACTATGGAGCAGGTATGATGGCTGGGTGGCCATGCTCATAGAGCACGCAACTTTCAGAGACTTTATCATTGTTGCTTCCCCCCCCCCCTTTTTTTTAATCTGAAACTTATTATTTAAAATCTTGAAATTGTGTTAAGAAAAAATTTTCACTTCAGAATTTCACATTTAAAGAATGTAGAGGTGTTCCAAGATTACAAGCTTAGAAATGTTAGCAAATTACATAACACAATTAAAACTACATAGCGCATTTGCTCTAAGAAACCGAAGTACAGCAGTGAGGTTAGGTGTGTCAGAGTCCATGAGACTGTCTCAGGACAGGGCACAGTTCAGAGCTGCTGTACGTAGGTAGTGTCTCCTGGAGTCACAGGCAACTCAACAGCACATAACAACAATAAACTCTTGCAAAAACGTTGACAAAATTGAATTAGTAAGAGCTGATAGATGTGAGACATGAGAAATAGATGGTAGATTTTAAGCCAGTGTGGCTTAGAAGAAAGTCAAAACTTACTTTCTGCCTTAGTAACCAGCATAGAGCGTACACCTGCTTTATCTCACTGACCCCAAGGAAGTTAAGGTCTCATGACCTCATTTCCTAGCTGACCAAGCCCCCAAGGGCCTTTCCGCCCAACTCTGCCTCCAGGGTGACATGGGCACACTCTGGCCTCACTGTCTTTGCCTACATCCTTCAAATTGCAAAATTCTGGGCTTTGTGCTACTTTTCCCTCTTCCTTGTCACATCTGCCAAGGTAGGCTTAGAATAAAGTATAAAATACATAAAACGAGTGGTAGTTCTGACTGGAAGTGTCCTGTGCTTCCTGTAGATCTCTTCACCACCCCTGACACTAAGGCTTTGAATATTGCACCTTGCAAAATAGCAAGAGTTCCTGTGTTAAGTCAGCCGTCTTGCGTCTTAGCTTTCTTCCTTCTGTTTCCTCTCCAGCTCTTCATGAATATTGCTATCTTTGAGGATGAGGTTCTGGCTGGAGTCACCACACACCAGGAACTCTTCCCCCACAGCCTGCTGAGTGTGATCGCTAATTTCATCCCCTTCTCTGATCACAACCAGAGTCCACGGAACATGTACCAGTGCCAGATGGGTAAGGCGGAGTCCAGCATGAGAGAAGAGTGCTGCTTGTAACTTAGTATTTTTTAAATTTCACATATATCAAAAATTTACAGTAATAATAGAGATGTCCCATAAACCCTTGAAACTTCATGTCACTCATTAACATTCTGTATCATCTGAGCCTCTTTTCTTTTTCCCCCATTTGTAAGTCAGTTGCAGACTTGATGTCTGTTTACTCCCAGATACTTTTTAAAGACAAGGGTGTTCATTTACTTTACCAATGTTTCCAAAACACTGTTTTATATAATACTCTTTTATAGTCAGTAATAAAACTTTGAGGGAGCTCTCATGGCCTGGTGGGAGAGGAGTTGCACTGCCGATTCAGACAAACGTTTCAAGTCTACCAGTGGCTCCAAGGAAGAAAGATGAACAGTCTCTCCTCATTTGATTTACAGCCTGTGGAAACCTGCTGGAGGGTCAGCTGCAAGTCTGTCCCAGTTCAATGGCCCATAACTGTTACCATTTGTCCCAAAAAAGATTTATAGCAAGCTTGGTGTTTTCCAGGGGGTGGTAAGGTGGTTTCTGTACAACACCCAGCCAGAGATTACAAAGATTATGTAATTGTCGTCCTCTAATGATTAATGTCTATTGTTCACCATTTTTATCTCTTCAGTTATATTTGAAAACTGTGTGTGTTCTTTACATCTACTTTTTATGCTTTTTCCTGCATTATATGTCCATGAATCAGGTCTGGAATAATTTGGGATATATTACGTACACTATATTTATGATCTCATACCATAAAGGTTGTGTTCATCCGCATAGTGTTATATATGACATAGCTTGTTACAGATGACACAACCTTGCTTGCAGAACATAAAAAGGACGTAAAGCACTTGCTACAGAAGATCAGAGACTACAACCTTCAAAGTAGATTGCATCTTCACATCAGCAAAGTACTCACCACATCGTCATGATAGATGGAGAAAAGATTAGAGTTGTCAGCTGTGTGTCTTATTTGAATCCACAGTCTAGACATCAAAAGATGTGTTGCCTTGAGAAAATCTTCCATCAGACACCTCTCCAGAGTGCTGAAAAGCAGTAATGTCAGTTTAAAGAATAAGGTGCACCTGATCCAAGCCATGGGGTTTTTTTGTTGTTGTTTTTTGGGTGTTTGGTTTTTTTATTTCACTTGTATCCGGTGCTTCTGAAAGTTATACCATGAATGAGGAAGACTGAAGAAAAATCAGTGCGACCTTCATGGTCTGGTGTTGGTGAAATGTACTGAATATCCCTTGAACTGTCAAAAGAACAAAGAAGTATGTCTTGGAGAAAGTACAACTAGGGTACTCCTGTTCACATTCTGTAGGCATACTGTCAGGCCAGTCCTTGGGAAAAGACACGTTGCTGGGAAAGGTGGTCACAAAAAGGAAGATCCTCAACAAGATAGGTTGACACAGTGAGTGTAACAACAGCCTCAAACTTATCAGAGATGGTGACTATGGTGCAGGACAGGGCAGTATTCAGATTGTTCATAGCATTGCTTCGTGGTACCTATCAACATAAGGTATTTTATTAAATTTGTGTTGCATTTCTTACACTCTCCATATTGTTTTAATCGTCTCATCATACTGATCATGCACGTAAGTCACTTGTCACAGCTGTATAGGATTGCCTAGTGTTTGTAACCACCACGATTTATTTATTCATTACTCTGTTGATGAATTTAGTTCAAATTTTATTACCTATACAATCGTAGAAGTTTCCTAGAAAATTGTACACATTTTTCTCCTTTCTCTCTGTAGGTAAACAGACTATGGGCTTTCCACTTCTTACTTATCAGGACCGATCAGACAATAAGCTGTATCGTCTTCAGACTCCACAGAGTCCTTTAGTGAGACCATCCATGTATGATTATTATGACATGGATAACTATCCAATCGGGACAAATGCCATCGTTGCTGTTATTTCTTACACCGGCTATGATATGGAAGATGCTATGGTAAGCCTGACCTAGAGATGGGACTCCATTCTATTTTTTTTTTAACTTATTAGATTATTAGAGTGGGAGTTTAAAAAGTATATTGGTTTATCTTGAATTCAGTCCCTCATACTTTTTTAGTCACATTAACTCCCGTACCCACAATGTCTGATCGTCCACTCTGTGTTTCTTTTCACTTTGCCCATCTTAAAACATGTCTTTTGTCTATTTATGTTTACTCTCCCCTCCTTTTCTGGTGGCTCTTTGGACATGTTGTGAGGAGAGACCGGTCCTTGGAGAAGGACATCATGCTTGGGAGGGTGGAGGGATAGTGCAGGAGAGGAAGGCCCTCTATGAGGTGGATTGATTCAGTGACTGGGATAAACGGGATGGGAGTGTCAGAGACAGAGCGATTGGCACAGGACAGAGCAGAGTTTAGGGCTGTTGTACATAGGGTCGCTAAGAGTCGCAAGCGACTCGACGGCACATAACAACAACAACAACATAAAGCATTCTTTTTTTTTTCTAACAGATTCCTTTTACTTTCCTAACTAATTCCCACAGTTTAGTGACTTTGGAAGATACTACACATTTATGATCCTACAGTTCTTCAGAAATATAAAGTGGATCTTGTTCTTAAAGCATTCTTATATGTACTTTCCAAAATATATTTGGGTTTTAATAGTATAAGTAGCATGAGGAGAGTTTAAAAATTGAATGTCCGTTATTCTGATCTAAGTTTGTTTTTGTTTTTTAAAAAATGTTACTATTTTGTGTGTGTGTACTGTCAAATCGGATTTGATTGGTACAGGAGGAGATTGCCCCACTGTTTCCAGCAGAGATCTGGTGGATTTGAATCGCCTACTTCTGGGAATGCAGTGCAGTTTCTTATCAGAGCTTCCTAATTCTGACCTAAGTTTTAATGTCATTGTACCCAACTTTATTTTGCAAAAGCTCCATATCACTGCAGGTTTTTCAATGAATGGTTCTTTGACTTTCAGATTGTGAATAAGGCCTCTTGGGAACGAGGCTTTGCCCATGGGAGTGTGTATAAGTCCGAGTTCATCGACCTCACTGAGAAAATCAAACAAGGCAATGATAGTCTGGTGTTTGGTGTCAGACCTGGTGACCCGCGGGTTTTGCAGAAGCTAGATGACGATGGGTTGCCCTTTGTGGGAGCACGATTGCAGTATGGAGACCCGTATTATGGCTACCTGAACCTGAACACTGGAGACAGCTATGTTGTGTACTATAAGTGAGTTCATGTCTTTTCAAATTGGACACTTAGATTTACTAGCCAAAATATTTGGTCATTAGAGCTCTTACTGAGAATTTTATTGTATAATAAAAAATGGTTTTAATCATAGATCCTCCCAATAGTTTTTCAGTTGACCATTCTATTAGTGAATAGAAGTAAGACCATTTTAAAAATAAACTACTAGGATGGGGCAGGGTTTAGAGCTAATGTAAGTAGGCTCTCTGTGAGTCACAGGCAACTAGATGGCATACAATAAGAAGTTATTTTTTAAAAAAAACAAACCAAAATCCAAAACTTAATGTAGAAGTTTAAACAAATAATTTTTATACGTTTATTTTTTTTCCTTAGGAGTAAAGAAAACTGTGTTGTGGATAACATCAAAGTTTGCAGTAATGACACAGGAAGTGGAAAATTCAAGTGTGTGTGCATCAGTATGCGGGTCCCTCGGAACCCAACCATCGGGGACAAGTTCGCCAGCCGCCACGGGCAGAAGGGCATTTTGAGCAGGCTATGGCCTATGGAGGACATGCCTTTCACTGAGAGCGGGATGGTCCCGGACATCTTGTTCAATCCTCACGGCTTCCCGTCCCGCATGACCATCGGCATGCTGATCGAGAGCATGGCCGGCAAGTCCGCGGCTCTGCATGGACTCTGCCACGATGCCACACCCTTCATCTTTTCTGAGCAGAACTCTGCTTTAGAATACTTTGGGGAATTGCTGAAGGCGGCTGGCTACAACTTCTACGGCACGGAGCGGTTGTACAGTGGCATCAGCGGGCTAGAGCTCGAAGCAGACATTTTCATTGGAGTGGTTTATTACCAACGCCTGCGACACATGGTCTCCGACAAGTTTCAAGTGAGAACAACAGGAGCCAGAGACAAAGTCACCAACCAGCCTATTGGGGGGAGAAACGTGCAGGGGGGCATCCGCTTTGGGGAGATGGAGCGAGATGCCCTTCTGGCCCATGGTACCTCTTTCCTGCTTCACGACCGCCTCTTCAACTGCTCTGACCGCTCTGTCGCGCACGTGTGTGTCCAGTGCGGCAGTCTCCTGTCCCCGCTGCTGGAGAAGCCGCCCCCTTCATGGTCCGCCCTCCGCAACAGGAAGTACAACTGTGTGCTCTGCCAGCGCAGCGACACCATCGACACTGTGTCGGTGCCTTACGTCTTCCGGTATTTTGTAGCCGAACTGGCCGCTATGAACATCAAAGTGAAACTGGATGTTGCTTAACTTGATGCCTTTTGGTTTAGGAGCTGTATTGGATAAAAAGAAAACATATATTTCATTTTGTGAAGATAGTGATATTTATGGTATTATTGAGGTTTTTGCCCAGGGATGTTGAAACTCTGTGTTAAGAGTTTTAATAATCGAGTCTCTCCTAACTACTAAAGCTCTCTGTCAGTATATTTTTCAGAGGAATCTCTGGGTGATGTGGTTAAGTGCCTGACAGGCTCAGAGGACACATGTGGCACTATGTCCCAAAGGTACACAGTGTTAACAGGCACCAATGTGGTCAGCAGGTCTTGTCCGCTGGTTCCCTTTGCCCTGCTGCAGCACTTTATCAGTACCACCTAGAGAAGTCAAACAAAAAGATAATGGAAGCTCTCTATGCAGTTTTATATTTTCTTAAAGTATAAAACATTAAGTATAAAACAGGTGAAGATAATTTTAATATTTTAATAGAATGGCACTGCAACATGTAATGAAAATGAAACATGTATTAAGCTACTTTACATGTACCCCCCAATAATCCAGTGTTTTTATACAGTCTGTTCTCTACTTGGATTTTTCATGATAACCTATGCTGAGCCTCCTATCAGTTGAAATTATTTTTTATATATAATATATAGTGTTATATATATATATATATATAGAATGCCTTTTAGTCCCCTCTTGGTTGTGTTACTTTTTAAAGCTCTGTTATTATAAAGTATGTGCTGTTATATACACTGATGTATATGGTTTTGTAATATACATGTACAAAAACAAGGTGCTTTCTGATGTTAAACATAGAAGTCTGGCATTAGGTGGTCTGTAATTAATTATGAATTAATAAGGATGACAGAAGAATCAATGCCTTTGAACTGTAGTGCTAGAGAAGGCTACTGAATATCCCATGGGCTACCAAAAACCCAACAAGGCTATCCTGGAGAAAGTGCAACCGGGGTGCTCCTTAGAGACAAGGATGATGAAACTTAATTTCATATACTTTGGATATGTTATCAGGAGGGGCCAGTCTTTGGAAAAAAAAAGCTGGGAAAGGTGGAAGGTCAGAGAAAGATGACCCTCAACAGGGTGGATTGACACTGTGAATAGCACTAGGGTCAAATCAGATCATAGGGATGGCACAGGAGGGCAAGATTCAGACATGTGTTCATAGAGCGGCTGTGAGTTGTTGCTGACTAGGTAGGACCAACAAGAACCTTTGATCAAAATGTCTAACAATGATAGCCAGGTGCCATCCAGTTCTGGCCAGAAGATGACACAGCAGTTCATGCAGGCAATCAGCCATACCTTCTATATGCTCTTCTGACCTCTCTTTGCCCTATTACACCAAACATGGAGACCAAATGCTGTGCCTTTGCTGCTTTTAAGACTTCAGGCACAGGGGGGAGGGAGGCAATTATTCAACGATGAAGTAATTTTTTTTAACGAGAACTGGGGAGGGATAGGGAGGAAAATGTTGTAACAATGAATGAATGGAAATCCAAATTCTTGCTAAGCTTTTGCTAAAATTTCAATAAATTTTTTAAAGACCTTGGGCATTGACTGCACAGTGAACTAGGTGATAGAAGCACTAAAAACATTAGGTCACAAAGGGATAAATGCTATATGGTGCCACTGTTGTAGAATGAGGCTGGCATTGGGGTGGGGGGTAAGACTGAGAAAAACTTGATGAAATATGTTTACGGCATTGAAGTCTATGGGGGAGAGAATAGTCTGAAAGTATTTTGGGGCATTATTTTTATCGTAGGAGTACGCAATGAGGGTTGCAGAGTGGATTATATTTGGGGGTAGGGCGTGGGGTTTGGGGAGGTGCAGGGGGATTGTGTACCAATGAGGGAGTTTTTCTTTTGCTTTTCAAGGAGAGGAGCAAACGGGGGGGGGGGGTGTTTGTGCGGGGAGAAGGGTGCAACAATGAATGAATGGAATTCCAAAATCTCTGTAGATGTTCATTGAAACGAAAAATAAACAAACTAAATTAATAAAAAAAAAATTGGGCCAAGGGGAGCTCTGGTGGCCTAGTGGCAAGGACCTGCAACTACAATCCCAGGGGCGCACGGTTCAAATCCACCAGATGCTCTGCTGGGGAAGGAGGGACAATTTCCTCCTGTACCAGTCAGATCTTATTTGATGGTACACTCACACAAAAAAATAAAAAAGCAAGAGTTCTTATAAAAAAAAACCATTAGGCCAATTAAGTGATGTCATGCAATGCTTTCCCTTTGTGATTTCACTCAGCATATCTTCAAACCCCATCCATACTATAACAGTTATAAGACTTTATCCTAAATGACAGTACTTTTCCATTATGTGTATGTACCACATTTTCTTTACCCCTTCATCTACTAGCAAGCATCTAGTTTGCTTCTGTCCTTTAGCCACTATAAATGGTGGTACAACGAAACTGGTACACAGTATCTTAAGTCTGCTTTTGAATTTTTTGAATGGAATTCCTGGGCCATACAGTACTTTTGAGATTGTTGATAACTTCGGTTTGCTTGGTGCCACAATCAACACTCTGGGCAACAGCAGTCAGGAAATAAAAGATGATTGCATTGGGAAAGTCTACCGTCAGGGACCTCTCTAGAGTACTGAAGAGCAACAGCGATGGCAGTCTGGAGACTAAAGTGCGCCTGATCCAGGCCATAGTCTTCACAATTGCTGTGCATCAGAGTTGTGGTGCTGGAGAAGAGTGTTGAACATACTGTGGACAGCTAGGATAACAAATAGTTTTTTATTCTGGAAAGGGTGAAACCAGGCTGCTCCCTGGATGCAAGGATTGAGGCTTTGTCTTACATGTTTGGGGCATGTGGCAGGAGGGACCAGTCCTTGGAGAGGGACACCATGCTTGCAAGGGTGGAGGGATAGCGCAGGAGAGGAAAATCCAGGATGAGATGGATTAACTGACTGGGGTAATGGCATTAGGTCTGTTGCAGATGAGATGATGAGATTGGTTTAGGAATAGGGCAGGTTTCAGAGCTAGTGTACATAAGGTCACTATGAGTTGCAGGTGACCTAATGGTACATAACAACATTGTAGTTTCATCCTTAGTGTTTTAGGAAATAATGCACTGTTTACCATTTTGCATTCGTATCAGTAGATTCCAAATTTCCCACATTTTGGTCATTTTTTTTTTATTATCTCGTTTTGCTTAACCTTGGTCATCATACTGTGTGTGAAATGGTGTCTCATTTGGTACTAATTTGCATCTGGTGGATAAAGCCGCTGAGAGTGTCTTTTGCTCATTTTCTGACAGGTTTGCTTTCATTCTGTTGAGATTTCATATTCACAAAGACCTCTAAGGCAAAAACCCATCAAAAAAGGAAAACAATTGTTTTCCACCAAAATAAGCAATTGAAAAAGGAACCCCATGAAAGGCAGGAAACTTCCAAAACCTGGTAAGCTCAAACAGTTTAAGTTCTGACTGACAGGTTTCACAAAATTTGTCACAAAAATGGTTTGCATGTAGTTTATTTGAGTCTTTTTGTCCTCATGGAAGACTGTCACAAAGCAAAAGATTGCCATTTGAGCAAGTTTTGCTTATATTTTCTGCACCTTATATTTTTGTTAAGTCTGAGAACTCTTCAACTAATGGATGCAAAGAGTTTCTCTGTTACTGCTGAAAGATTTTATAGTTTGGTATTTCACGCTTAAACCTCTGATCCACGTAGCTATTTTGGGTAAATTTTTTTATAAGATGTTTAGATTGAGGTTCAGATTTTTTTTTCTGTCTTAAATATCTAATTGCTCCAGCAGCAGTATGGTATTTGAAGACCAGAAGGGACTCTAGGAGCAGTCTAGGATGAGCTGTGTTGCTAACCCGAAGGTCACACCTCTCTGGTTTGCATCTACCAGTGACTGGGAGAAAGATGGGCATTCTCTTGAAAACTGCTTGGTCAGTTATGAGTTGGTTCCAACTGAGAGCTGATGAGATCCTCCATCGAAAAAGGCAAACCTATACAGGGTAGACTTATCTTTTTCATTTTCTCTTTTATTGGCTTACTAACCCTTCCTCTACATTTTCTTTTTTTCCAATAGGGTCTTTTAGAACTGACATCTCTGTAGACTTTCACACTTGACATTACTGTATTACTTCACATACAGATAAGAAACTTATAACAGTATGCATCATTTCCTCCTCACCTGGCTTTGTCTCTTTTCTTTTTTACATAAATGAGTTCCACAATATATTGTTAGTTTTACTTTAAGAAATTACCTTTGAAAGAGATAAATGACTCGATTGCGCTATTATTGGTGGTGGTTACTGGGAGCAGTGGTATGGTTCTCAACACCATGCACGGGATTTGGTGTGATTCCAACTCGTTTGTACCTTGTCTTGGAGGCTTGGATGGTGGACAAAGATTTCAGGTGGCACAGTGGTTGATGGTTTGAACTCACTAGCCACTCACTAGGAGACAAAATCTACCATGAAGATTACACTTGTGGGAGACTATGGGGCAATTGATGATGCTGAACTAATTTCAGTGGGGCTTATAGAATATAACTAGGAAGAAACGGCTGGCGACGTACTTGCAAAAACCAGCTAATGAAAACTAGACTCTTTTTTTACAGTCCAGCATGAACCCCAAACCTATCATGGGGTGATGTAGGTGCAGCCAGGGTGGGAAAGACAATCCTGGGCTCACACAGCTTGTTTCCTGAAACTTCCAGGGATCTCTGCACTTTTCTCTGCACCACTCTACTCCCCACTACTTTGCTTTGATGAGCCTCCCTGTCTCGGTCTCCCCAGGTCTGCATCTCTCATCATTGCAGAAGACCACTGTGCTGGCTTGGTTACACCTGTGAGGTGACCGGCAAAGTCCTGACATGAGTGAGAGGTCATCAGGAAGTCTCCCAAGTCCTTTCTCAAGTTCACTGTGCAGCATTGTTAACCAGGACCTAATATGTTGCCTCATCTTTTGTCCAGATTTTCAGTTTATATCAGTGTTCAGATCTTTTGTTTATAGGGTCATTATGAGTCATACTCAATCCAGTGGTACCTAACAACTAGGAGTTGAAGTCAGCCTCTTTTACTCCACCCAGCCCCCCAGAGGAGATACTGAATGCCCTCTGCAAACACCTAGCCTCCCACTCAAGGGGATGCCACGTCTGAGCTTTGGTCT